AGGGGAGAGAGACAGAAAGAAAGAAAGAAGAGACAAGGAGGGAGGGAAACAGAGAGAGAGAGAGAGAGAAGAAAGACAGAGACAGACCCTACCTGGAACTGAACAGTGATGTAGAGACAGCCAAGGCCAGTGACAGAGCAGATAACAGTGACAAGGAGTCTCAGGACTCCCAACTCTTCCCTCTAAGAGCAGCCCCATATTCTCCCTGGGTAGCAAGTCCATACTACTGTCCATCCCACACACACCCTAGACCACCCGTCGCCCCCACCCCCATCCCAGGATTGACAGCCAGGAGACGTGGCTTCCCATTCAGCCTCTGCCATTTACTTAACAGGCGGGTCAAACCATTTCACCTCCCTAGGCCTCAGATTCATTTGCTCTCCCTAACTCACTGAGCTACTGGGAGAAGCCTTGAAGTCTTCCCAAAACCCGAGCTATTAGCATTCTCAGGCAATAGAAGAGAGCTCCACAGTAGGAGGCTGACAACAATAGGTGAAAATTGCAAAGCACCAACCCAGGCTCCCCATTAGGAATAAAGCTGGAGCAATTTTATGTGCCGTAGGCCTTTAATCAAAGCCTAGATGGCCACTTGTCGAGTACATTACGTTGAAAAAAGGAGCTGGCGCTCCGAGGTTCCTTCTCCCTGGGATTCTATAACCCTGCATCCCCCCAGAACTCAAAGAAGGAAGGGGGTCATTCTGAGGCCACCTCTCCAGGGGACACAAGGACCCGCTTACTGAAGACAAAGGAAGAGGCCGAGGGATTCCTGATTCCTTCTGGCCTGTACCTCTCCCAGGAAAATCTCACTCGTGCCCAGAGAAGAACAAGGGCTAATATCTAGACAGCCAGGAAATCCACTGAGGGCACCCCTCTGACACGGAACCTGGTTCCTTGGTTCTACCCACTAAGAAGATGCATCCAAAAAGTCTTCCCTTCGCGGTCCTGTTAGACCTGAGAAGGGAGGCTGGCAGTGATGAGAACAGAAGCAAAGAATGTTAGCCTTGGGTGTAGGGGAAAGTGGATTCAATCCTAGCTCACACTTAGCAGCTGTGTGACCCAAGCAAATCAATTTACCTCTCAGAGACTTGGTTTTCTCATCACGCGTAAGACTCATATTACCAACTTCAGTGTTGTTGTGAGACAAGTGCCTTGAAATCCTTAACACATTACAAAAACTATCATTGTTGTTGTCCTCTAAAGGATGTGGGGTGGCCTTGGACCCCAAGTCTACAGTATCTTCTCTTGCCCAGGGCAGCTCTGAAGCAAGAAGAATCCTAATTTACCCTAGAGAGATCAGCTCCAGGCTATGGGTCAGAGGCCCACCTTGACCTCCACCTTTATTCTCATCTGGGGATGTCTGCAGTATCACCAGTGCCCCAGGGCAGGCTGGACAATCTCCCCAAAGTAATGCGGGCTGCCAGGTCGCAGGACAGCCCTAGGGGTCTAAACAGGCCACTGTCCCATACAGAAGCCATATGAGTCAGCCTGGCTGAATGTGAGTGTTAGTCAAGACAATTGCTTCTCTTCTCTCGAGGTAAAATAATTTTGTTTTTGAAGACACTGAAAGAAAGACGCCTCATGGTGTGAGTATGGCTGGCATTATCCAAAGGCACAATCGATGGTGACCAGCTTGCCAGCCCAGGAAGTGACCCTCACCTCAGAAGACCTTCTTTAGAAACAGCGAGGCAAGTCAGTGGACAGAACGCTGGACCCGGAGTCAGAAGAACTGAGCTAAACTCTAGCCTTCACTAGCTGTGTGACCCCGGGCAAGTCATTAGTCTGTTTCTGCCTCAGTTTCCCAGCTATAAAATGGGAACAATAATAGCAGGATGGATATGAGAATTAATTAAATTAAATTAATTTTGGTAAAGCACTTAGCCCAGTGGTTGGTTTAAAAGTAATGACACTCATTTCCTTCCCTCCTGATGTCAGAAATTCCCAAGGTTATACATTTGGAGCTGGAAAGGGCCTTCAAGGGCCTGGTTTTACAGACTTACTCAGGAACACACAGCTAATCTGTCCTGAGGCCAGATTCCAATTCAGGCCCTCCTGGCTCCAAGTCCAACCCTCTCTCCACATACCGGGAAGCCTCCTTGCTGTGACTCAGAATCACATAATCTCAGGAGTGGGAAGTCTAAATGTCATGTAGCCTAACCTGTCTCTGAACAAGAATTACCTCTAAAGAAATCCTAACAAGTGCCTACCCAACTCCTGCTGAAAGGACACGCAAGCAAACAAGCACCTCAGAGCAGCCAGGTGGCACGGTAGGTACAGAGCCGGGCCTGGAGTCGGGAAGACCTGAGTTCAAACCTGGCCTCCAACACTTAACTAGCTGTGTGACCTTGGGCAAGTCACTTATCCTGCCTCAGTTTCCCCATCTGTAAAGTGGGGGAACCCACAGTAAAGCACTATAAATAATAGCTATTAATTAATGCAAATTGCCAGTTCACATGACAATCTCTGGGAGTCTACGTGAGCCACTGAAGTTTCTTCCCCAGGCTGGGAAAAAATGTACAAAATACAAGCTGCACCACAGGCAAATAGCAACCCTGGCCTTCTGGGAGATCCAGCTGTCTCTAGAAACCCTGGCACCCATCCTGAGAGTTCACTATTCATTAGGCAACCCAGCCTCTTCTCCTCATTGAGAACTTAAGTCAAATAAAATCTGGTTGAGCACAACACCAAGCCACCTCAAAATACTCCCCTGGACACACCTTTTGGCCCACCAAGATGATGGCCCCCACAGCCCTCTGCCCTTCAGGTTGGTTTCCTAGTTAGCCCGTTCTCCTTCCTCCCAAGACCCTGTACTTGTTACCAACTCAGCAAGCCAACAGGTCTACAACTGAGTTTCCCAAAGACATCAGCAGGGGAGGTGGGAGGGAAGAGTGCACCCTGCTACCACACACAGTAACAACACAGCTGGCACAAACCTAGGTACCCCTGGGGGCCCAAACCTGAGCAGCGTCGCTGGAGGCTAGGTGCTCCCAGCTGTGCACAGACGTGAGCCCCCTGGGAGCCGGACAACCTCAGTGATGGCACAGTCCCCAGTATCCCTGAGGGCCGGCGTACCCGTGGCAAGGACGCAAACCTGAGCGTTCCTGTGGCCAGCGTGGCAACGGCACAGGCCGAAACACCTTCAGCCCCGATACAAACCTGAGCACCCCATGGTCTGGGCACACTCTGCAATTGTACAGCCAAGAGGCTCAATGTCCTCAGTCAACACCATGATGACCATAAATGGGTATTCTTAGCGATTATACGGACATCCCAGAAGATAGTGCATTCAGCAATGGAATAAAAGGAAGCTGGTCTCTGTTGGGGGGAAGGGGGATCCTCAGCAAATACATGAACATAAATATATGTATCCACTACGCAACATGGGCACCAAAGCAGGCGGCTGGCCAGGAACCTCTCGGCAATGCCACAGAGCCAGGCAGTGCTTCATCACCTTCCCTAAATGGAGCAATGGTGCCTGCCGGAGCAGGAACAGGAACAAGAGAGTATATGAAGAAAGCAGCCTGCTGAGAGCCAGCGTGGTCATACACATACACATGAATGTTCACAGATTCAGGGGAACCCTGAGGGGTCACTGGTCCCATCCTCACATAGAGGAACATCCTTCCAGGGTCACAGACAGATATTCCGAGGGTCATCATGCCCATAAGCACAATGACATGGTGAGAGACATGTCCCGAGACAGGACAACTGAACACAGATGGGACAAGCCATGAGCACACACTTCTCCAGCTGTCAAGCCCCAGCTCTGGAAATCCAGAACGGAAGCTGGGGGACAGAGGGGTTCAAGGAAGAGTGGGCTAAGAGGAAGAAAGGGCACAACGCCCTCCAGTCCAGGCACTGGCAAGCCCTTGCAGCTCAAATCCACTGGTATGTCCCAGTTTGCACTTACCACTCCATTCACACACTACACACTGTTTTGGATACCTACACAGCTAGACAGATGCACGTGTGTACAAACACAAATCCCAGGATGTCCTACACATAAATACTGGTGTAAAGGAAGGAACCCCAGCAGGAAGGCCAGGGATCAGAATCAAACATAGCAGCTCTCCCCCACTTTCCCAGCAAACAAAAAAGCCCCTCTCCCCTCCCCAGGGATAGCTCTCTAAAGGTTTAAAGCCAGGACTACCCTGGCTTCCACCATCACCACCCCTGAGTCGGCACCTGGGCACTGGGAATACCCATTCTGGGGTGGGCCAGTCACCAGCCGCATGGTAGATACCTGAGGCTAGCCCGGGGGCCCAGACTCACCTGGGGCATTGGCTACCTGCAGACTGGCCCGCTTCTTAAAGGGGTATTTGGCCTTGGGCTTCCCAGGTGACGCCGAGGAGGATGCCATGGTTGGGGCCTCAGCTGGCAGGCAGGGACCTCGTTCTGCCACATCCAACCCCTTCCTCGCCCCGCCTCTCCTCTCCTCTCCCCTCCCTTCCCAGCCTGCCGGCCCCCAATGGGGAGTGACTGATGCAGGAAGCTAAGCCCAGCTCGGCATGGCAGGCGGAAGAGGCCCAGGCCAGGATTTCTACAGTTGCCCAGGCAACTGAAGAGTGCACTGCTTCCCTCCCTCCACCACCCCTCAGCCCATGCCCCTGGGATGGCGCAACTGATGTCTCAGCCGCAGGGAGGAAAAAACGAGAGATAACGAGACTGGGGGGAGGGGAGGCAGTGAAGCTAGGGCCCAACTCTTCAGGAACAGCACCATCCCTAACCCCCACCCCCACCCCAATCCCCCCAAGCAAAGCTGGGACCTTGCTTGGGCAAAGTGAGAAGCTGGCTGGCCAAGCCCTACTGGGAAAAGAACCCGGGAACCCAACCTTCTTGTCCACAAGCTTGGAACTCAGTCCTTTCACTGCAGAAGGGTACCCTTGGTAGAGGAAGGACGCATTTCCCAGGGATTCCCCAAATGGGTCAGAGCCCCCTCCCAAAGCACAGACACCCCACCTCTCCAGGGGATGACAAGAGGGGTGATCCCTAGCCAGACGGAAAGGGGTCAGTCTGGGGAAAATTCCACTGTCCCTGGCAGCAGCTGCCCAAGACTGGAGGGAGGGGAAGAGTTGGGAGTCCACCATCTCTGGAGTTTAGCCCTTTCTTGGGTGGATGTGTTTTGTTTTCATTTTGTTTTCCTTTTGGGGGGTTGGGAGGGAGGATGATTCTAGGAAATTAGACCCACAGAACGTTAGAACTGGGAGGAACATCTAGTCCAACTTAATTTCACAGATAAGGGAAAACAAGTCCAGAGGTGAAGTGGTTTACCCAGATCAACATAAGAAAACTTAGAAGCGACACTGAGACTGAAACCCAGATCACATGATTCCCAATCTGTCCTTTTTGGCCCAAATGCCCCCAGGACTTTTTCTTTCGATAATCCAGCTCTTACCTGTACATATCTAGAGCTCTCTACCGCAGGTGTGTGTGTTGGGGAAAGCAGGCACCTGCCCTTTGCCCTGAAAACTGAGTTAGCTCCCTCCTTTTGATCAGAGGTCACAGAGCCATATGGTGCATGGGCTAGATCTTCTAGTGCAGGGGTCATAACTTGGTAGCTGATAATTTGTATTTTTAAAAGATATTTTGATAACTATATTTCAAAAACTAAATTCACTAAAAATTACCAAAAAAAATTTCCTTTGAAATCCTTTGTATTTTATTTTACTCATGTAAGACCATGCTCTGGAAAAGGGTTCCACTGGCTTCCCAGACTGCCAAAGGAATGTGTGACACAAAAAAGGCTCTAGTCCACTCCCCCTTCTAAGAGATGAAAAAATGGAAGCTCATGACCAGGTGAAGTGACTGGCCTAAGGTCACCCTTCCATCTAAGCGCTGGAGTCAAATTTGAACTCAGCTTTCCCAAGTTGACCTCTTTCCACACCACAGTTAAATCTGGAAGAGATTTTCAAGACCACCTGGTCCACCCACCGCTTGATTTGCAGATGAGAAAAAGGAGGCCCAGAGAGTAGGAAGGTGGTTAAGAGGCAGAGGCTGCATCCAACCCAGGTCTCTGGTTCAAAATACTGTGCGCCTTGCACCAACCTAGACTGCCCCCTTCAGACATCTGCCACGGGAGACAAGCATTCGCCCCCCAGGCCCCAGTAAGCCACACTCACCTGCAGCCATGCTGGCAGGAAAGGAGGCAGGAGGAGGCTGCCCAGGTATTTGGACTCTGCAGCCGGGAAGAGGAGGGGTTAGGTAGCTCCGGACCTCGGGGGTCTGTGGCAGGGCAGACCACGTGCTCCCCAGGGAGCAGGGAGCAGGGAGCAGGGAGACCAGGCCCAGGGCCCCGGAATTGGCTCCGTCCGGAGCTTCTCCCTCTACACCCCCGGGACTGCGGAGCTCGGACTCCGACCCCGGGCAGGGGGTAGGGAGGAAACTAAGAGCAAATGCAAAACCCGTTCCCCGCCAAAAACGAAAAAAAACAAAAAACTGCCCCAGTCCCGGCCCCGCCCCCATCCGGCCGGCTCCCGGCCCCGCCCCCGGCTCCTCCCCCTCCCGCTGGCTCGTGATCACGTGGGCTGCTCGTGCGCGGCTCTCGGAGGGATGCTCTTCTACCTGGAGCTCGCAGGGTGCGGTTCATGGGCGCTTACCCAGCCTCCTCCTTCCCTGCTGATCACTCCCAATCGCATCCCCTCTCTGGCCTCAGTTTGCTCCTGGGTCAGAGGAAAGGGTAGACAGAACCACATGCTCTCTTAAGCCATTTCCAGCTCTAAACCCCACGGAAAGCTAGGGAGTAGAGGAGATCCTCACGTAGGAGCTGGGCTAGATGACCTCTAAGGTCCCTTTCAATTCTGAAATTCAGCAATTTGGAGCCTTGTTTTCCACAGACAAAGCCGAGCTCCAGTGGGGCTCTGGCCCTTGGGATTTCCTCCCACCATCTCCTGGGCTCTTAAGACTTTCAGTTAATCAACAGGAGCTGGCATTTCTACAAGACTTAAAGATGAACAGAGCCCCCTTTTTGAATCAGAATTGCTCTGTGAAGTTGGAAGCTCAGCTATGATGACGCTCATTTTACAGTTGGGGAAATCGAAGGCTACTAAAGTTGAAGTGACCTGTCCACAATCACCCAGCCAGTAAGGGTCAGAGACAGTAATTGAGTGCAGGTTTTCTCCAGTGCTCTTTTTACCACATCAATACTACCCTGACGCCAGCCAGCAGTCTTCAACATTCCCAGTAAATGGTCACCCACTTCTGTTGGAAGAAGGCTTGTGCCTGAAGACCTCCATGAAAGGAAACCCACCATACCTCCATAGGTACAGCACTAGAAAGAAATGTTGGCAGTAAACTTCCTGTCCCTGAAAGAGTTCAGGTAGAAGTGAAATGGTGGATCCAGAGAAAGAATTATGGAGTTTGAATGCAGATCGAAGCATACTGTTTCTCTTTTTTTCCCTTTCGCTTGGTTTTTCCCTTTTATTCTGATTCTTCCTTCACAAAATAACTAATGTGGAAATGTGTCTAATAGGATTGTACATGGATAGACTATATTAGATTGCTTACCATCTTGGGGAGGGGAGGGGGAGGGAGGGAGAAAAAAAATTGGAACTCAAAGTCTTGTAAAAGTGAATGTTGAAAACTATCTTTACATGTAATTGGGAAAAAATAAAATACTATTAAGTGGAAAAATAAATAAAAGTTAAAAAAAGTAAAATGGTGATTTGTCTGAGATGTTATGGAAAGGATTTGGATGAGATGATTACTGAACTTCTAAATAAACTAAACAGATGAGTACATAGTTGTTGTTTTTCCTTTTTTTTTTATTTTTTGGCGAGGCAATTGGAGTTAAGTGATTTACCCAGAGTCACACATCTCGTAAGTCTTATGTGTCTGAGGTCGAATTTGAACTCAGGTCCCCCTGACTCCAGCACAGCTCTATCCTAGCTGCCCCTTATCCTTTATTTGACTTGTATGTGAATTGGATTTAAGTGAGGCAGAGTTACACAAAGACATCAGCCTCATTTTCTCTTCCAGAGTTATTGAAATCCAATGGCAGGACAAAAGTCAAGACAACTGGCAATGGGCCAAGATTCGGTGGATGACCTTTGGGGTCTTTGCTATCTGACCAAGCTTGAAGTGCTCCACAGGTCCTATTTCAGCCACTTTCATAGCTGTTGGAATAAATTGTTCTCATCTATTCATTCTGCAAGGGGAAGTCTTCATGTGCTTGAGGTAACTCAAATGCGTTTGAGGCCTGTCAGTAACCTTCAACCTGATTTAGCCCTTCTGCCAAGACAGTTTACCGGGGTGTGGCTACTATGTATACGACAGCTTCTTGGAGCAACAAGTGAGAGTTGGGTGAATCAGGTGGATGCCAGAGCAGCCCTGGAAAAGACTGGGCAAACCCTCAACCCTCATTCTTCTTGGAATACCCCATACCTTCCAGGGTACATAGTAGGTATTCAGTGAATATTTCACAGAGAATTACAGCATCTAAGAGTAAGGGACCTCAGAATCCATATAGTTAGACCCATAACTGAACAAGAATCCTTTCTACAACATTCCTAATAAATGGTCACCCACTTCAGTTGGAAGAAGGCTTCTGCCTGAAGACCTCCATGAAAGGATACCTCCATAGGTATCCATCCCATTTTTTTATATCTCCAATTGTTAGAAGAATTTTTTTTTCTTGCATCAAAACTAAATCTTTCACCCACTGCCCCTCATTCTGTCCATTAGTGCTAAGCCAGCCTTTCAAATACATGAAGAGTGATACCTTATCTGCTATCTCCCTAATGTTAAGGTCTTTTCTCCAGGTTCCTTCAACTGATCCTTCATGAACTGAAGGTCCCTCATCATCCTAGCGGGATGTTCAGTCCTACAGCACTCTGAATATGGCCTGACCAGGGAAGACTAGAGGCAGAGGACAGGGTCTGGACTTGTTATTTCCTTGGTTATAGGGAACTTCCAGGTGAGGAAATCCCCTCTACCAATGCAAGATCAGCCCCTTCTTGACAACTTACATACAGTCTTAGAGAGTGCACTGAGAGGTTATTGACTCTTCCAGGGTCACACATTCTGCGAAAGAACTATTACCTCTTGTTCTGTTCACTCTTTCCTCATACGACCTAGGTGACTTAGAGTTAAAAGCATTAGCTTTTTGGGTTTCCATGTCACCCTATTAATTTCCTTTGTGGAATGAACAAATGGAGCAGTGACCCTGTAATTTTAGCAGTACTTATCATTGGCAGTAATGATAATTGATACTGATAATAACTACTTTTTCTCAATTTCTGTAACAACCATAGACCTTTGCCCCCCACACCCAGATGCACCGCTAATTTGTATCCAGATCGATTTAACTCTACCCTCTTCTCGCCTACTGATAGCTTTTCAGGTTCCAGCAAACTACCTCCTGAACCCTTACGCTCTTGACCTTAGGCCTTCTCACACTCCCTTTACCATTTTTTATATATTCTGCTACCTTCAACAAACATCCATTCCCTGGCGTCCTGTCCCTGACCCCAGCCTTAGCTCAGTTTCTCTTTAGGACAAATTTATAGCCTTAGGCCCCAGGATCCCAACCTCTGCCTTAAAGTAAGCAATACTTAATTTGGGTACTCAGCAGGGCATTGTGGCATTAGGGAAAGAGCACTGGGTAGAGAATCAGGAGGGCTGGGTTCAAGTCCTCATCATTATATTAACTTATTTTTTTAAATTTAATTTTCTTTATTTTATTCTGAACTTAAGAAGTAAAACAAGCATTTCCATAACATAGTAGAATAGAAAAAAAAGATGATTGTACATGAAGCTGCAAATCTATCATGTTCAACTTATTATTCCTTTTAAGTAGTTAATACAGTTATCATGTAACTTTTTTTCCCCTTTTTTCTTCCCCCACCCCCACCATGGCTACCATTAGTCATTTTATACATACTTCTATTCATCAGTTCTTTCTCTAGATGCAGATAGCCTCTTTTTAAAAATTGTTTATATGTATAATATATATATACATACACATATATATTTTTAATCAGCAAAAATAATGCCCTCCCACCCTAACCCTTCTCCCAACTTAAGAACTAAAGAAAAATGAACCCCATTACAAACACATATGGTCAATCAAAACAAATTTCCATATTAGGCATATCCAAAACCAAAATTTGTCTCATTCTGTACCCTGAATCCTTCACCTGGTCTATCCACCTCTTTTGCATAGATGTTCTACTTGTGCACCCTAATTATATGAGATAATTTTCCTTTCCGTTCCCCATCCCAGTATATTCCTCTTTCCCTCTTATTTCTCATGTCTTTTCTAATTTGTTTTTCCTCACGCACTCTCATTTCATTTATAAAAACATTTTTTTCACTTTTCTTTTTAAACTCTTGCTTCATCCCTTCCAGGAATTCCAGTTGAGTTTGCGCCCAAGCTGTGTTTTCCTCTGAGGCACTGCTCAGAGATGTTTTGTAGTCATCCTCTTCTGTCTTTGTATCTGGAGAGTCTCTGACAACATAATAGCTCCATTCTTCCAGCCGGCTTCCGGATTTTGGACTTTATATCAGGGCCAAGCTCTGCAGCACTTCTGGAGGGAAGGTCTTAGCTGGTCTTGTTGCTGCTTTCTTGGGGTATTCCAGGATCTCAGGAACAGACTAGGGACCTGCAAGCTTTCAGTTCCCACAGGAGTCTAATACAGAGCAAAGTCTGATGGCTGCCCACCTCATCTGAGTTCTACAAGCTCCCAATCTGGGTTTCAGGCTGCTGGACTTGGTCCCTCTCAGCCAGCTGGGTAATTCTGCAGAGTGACAGAACTGCAGAATCCCCTTTGGTCCAGATTTCCTGCCTTGGCTATTATTCTGCAGTCATGGATAAGAGCTCAGTGGCATTGCTTCCTGCCACTCCACCATCTTGGCCCAATCCCTCCCTCTATTCACGTTCTATGTAACCTTGACTAAGTCAATATAACTTCTCTGGGCTCAGTTTCTTTATCTATAAACTGTTTAGACTAGATCATTTCCAGGGTAGTTTCCAGCTTTAACTTTCTATAAGGGTATGAAACTGACCTGAGACATTTAGGGTTAGGATCCTTATTCTTCCCAAAGTCATTGTTTCAACAAACTCTCAGAATGAGAAGGGATCTTGTTCTCAGAATGAGAAGGTGACAGAATTCAACCTGTGTCTGAGCAGCAATGCCCTCTAGACCAGGGGTTCTTAACCTTTTTTAGGTCATGGACTCTTTTGTCAGTCTGGTGAAGCTCTCAGAATAATGTTTTTAAATGTATAAAGTAAAATACACTGCATTACAAAGAAAACCAATCATACTGAAATAAATTTAAAACATTTTTTTTAGGTTCATAGGCCCCAGGTTAAGAATTCCTGCTCTAGAACATGCCAGGTTAAGTGACCATCTAGATACTACTCAAAGACCATAAATAATGGGAACTTGTTTGTTCCTAAGGCAACT